TCTCAAGCCATTTACGTGTTTCATCAATTGACGGCGTAAAGAAATAGTAGAGTGCTGTCGGAACACCAAAATCGTTCATCGGTGAGACGGCAAAACCGGCTGAAACAAACGAAAAATCTTACTCACTTAGAACCACTTTAAAACCCCAGCAATCTCAATGTGCAACTGAAAACTTTCGATAAATCTACTGAACTGTTCACATCACAAATAAATAATTGATTCAACAATTTCACTTGTAAATTTCTTCCCATTTGCCATTCACAAATTATAAAATTGCTATCAATCACATAACTTATTCAAAAGATGCCGTAAAATTTAAACTCTTCCATACAAGATGCTCAAGTATTTCTTTAAACAGACTATCAATTCATCTCAAAAAACTTACAATAATCATAAAATTGCTGCAGACAAATTTTCGCAATATGCATCGGAGGCTTCAACACCCTCAAACGATCCGCGCGCTTATTTGTCGCCTTACAAATCAAGAACAGATCCGTGAACAGAATACAGTGAATATCAATCTGCAACAACAACAAATGCCATTGACGACATTTCAGATATATCGCATCAAACAAATATTCACTAAAAAATCATTTTACGATTGCTCTCAAAAATCTTTCAACTCAAAACTTTTTCCTACAAAAAACCTTCAAATAAACTTTTCGCCAATCACTAAATTTTCCATATTTTCANCTTCCATCCTCATCACCAACCTTCGTGCCTTGCTTTCCATCTTTAAACTTCAGATCACCTCGTAAATAAACCCGTCTAAATTGTGGTGGCCCAATAATGTACGGCATTGGTTCCGTCAGCCGTATATCGCATTTCATTGGAAATATCTGAAAAAATGTAACAAACTCGTCACATCACAATGCTACTTCACTGATCTATCTCCACTTCTTACTGAAAATTATCTGCTGAACAATGGCATCTAAGAAATTTCGATCATTTCTATTCATTTCTACTAAATAAGTCAAACGTTGCAGAAAATAGTTAAACTGAAATATCACTCACCTTATATAATACTGAAATAAAATTGCAAATGATTCGAAAGTCAATTAAAATAACCATTTTTTTGAATTTTGAAAACAACTGAATAAAACAAGTCAAATGAAATAAAATGAATGCAAAATATACGAATAAGTTCATTTTCAAAAGAAACCTTCTCAAATTCATCACTATCGATCGCATCATAACTTTCGATTGTCTTCGACAATTCATGAAGTTTATCTTGCAAATCATTATTCGTCAACGTTTCTTCAACGTTACGAGTGGCCGCTTCAATACGTGCGATCATCTCCTGAACAAACATTTATCACCATTATCATACATTACCCTTAAATATCATATTCTCAATATACTTCATACACTTATACAGTTCTACAGTTGATTATTATACAGTTTATATTATCAATACAGCCCTTATATCACTAAACATTCATCTTACCTTAGTTATCACTATCCACGTTATTGATCATTGTATTCATCTTATTGATCACTTATTTATCAATATATCCCTTATATCATTACATTCATCTTATCAATATAGTCCTTATATTATCAACCATTATCATATACTATCAAATGAACACTTATTTCATCTTATCATTATTACATACGAGACCACCACAAAAAATCACTGCTTTCTTCCAACTAAACTAATGATGAGAATGTCTACCACTTATAATTAACTGTTCATTTCAGCAATAAGCACAAAACTAATCGAAATATGCTCTCAAGCCAACAATCACAAAAGAATATCGCTCAGAAATCTACCTGAATAAGTTCTCGTTCTGAATCATCAGTACTGTTTTTGACGACTGCTTTCAAAAGGAGACTATATCTGGTGAGGCGTTGCATCGGATTTGTTAACGCATCCAGCAGTCGTTGACGTCGCATTGTGTCTTGTGACTCAGCCCACTGAAAGTAATTCGATATGTGATTTTGCTCAACCATTTTCTCCTTCACCTCTTCAATTCCGTACGAAACCATCAACCGAATTCATTTGATCAAAACACATAAATATTTCAAAAAAAATGTCAAAAGATTCAAAACATACGAAACATGAAGATAATGTGTACAATACAATTATAGAAGCTATTGAACACATAAAAGGCTGTGTAAAATCATAGGAATTTACAAAAGAACACATAAAATTATATAAGGATAATGAAAAAACAGATATGAGACATTTTAATTTCACTGAAAGAAAGGTTTTACCACCAGTCAATATTCAGGTCAGTTATCTAGCAAACGCCCGTTCTCGCTAAATTTTTCATCTTAAAATATTTCCTCATCAACAATGCATGATGAAATCTTACAATTAGCAATCTGCAACTAAAACTCGTTCTTAACATTAATTTATAATAATTTGCACTCGGACAGCTGAAAATCATAAGGAAACAACGTTCATGAATTGCATGCAGTACATTTCATGCACTCTTTAAAAATAACGCAATAACATGCGAAGGAGGACCCATTACCATCCTAAACGCCCAATTACTCTCCTACGCTTCCGGCTTGAGTCCCACGCACCTCATGAATTCTCATGCTTTACCATAGAATTCTCATTTCTAATACGTTTTTTTTGAGCAAATGAGTGAACATTCGGAAATTTTAAATCAAACTGCCGTCCGAAAAAAATTTTTTAAACAGCAATCAACAAGTGAAATAAACATACCGCAACGAATTCTTTGAATAATTCATGCTCCTTTTGACATTTCTGAACGTACGTATGACAATCGCTGTGTCCATAAATGAATGTCGTATAGCATGGCCACCACTCATCGATTCGATCGAAACCTGCTTTCAACAGACTCGGATCCAAAGGCACACCACGTTCTCTGAAAAGTTCACGATGAATTGATTATAAATACAGCGATAACAACAACTCTAGTAATAGTAACATCAATAAATTAATGACACTTCGCTATCTTAATGATAATCCGGCAATATTAATGAATGATACCAACAACAAGTCAATAAATGACAATGAGTGAAATATTCTGTGCAGATGCTAATTATTACGAAGATTTTAAAATACTCATTGCGAGATTTTTATGTTTTTAAAATTATAATTCTGAAATCACAAACTTTCAATATAAACGGCAAATATTATTGGTGAACTGAGAACTCAATCAAAAACTATTCATTCGTTACAACAAATAATTCACCTCGAATTTTCGAGCATTGGCATGATAGCACGTTTCCAGAACTTTGAATTATGTATGTACAATTCAGGATAATTCAAGAACACCCGTCTCGGGTCAATGTCGCGCAAGTACCCCACCTCTTGCATTCGTAGAAAATAGTGACACAGCTCGTCCATTTGTTTCAATAACTGAATCATTCATATTGCTATTATAACTTCATTTCGACAATCTCCATGCAACACAAAGCGTATACTCAAAGCAGCGAATAGAACTTGTGCAATTCGCTCGCTCTACAATATCACTAAGAAATTCACTCCTTAATTGAATAATCACGTACTCATCTCTCTTCAAACATATTCCATTTTAACAAATTACTCACAAATGATAACTAAATACTCGCTGGAGGTTACCATACTCAAACACGATTGAATTGTTCAGTTTCAAGATGAAATTCTTACAAATTTACGATTCCATGCACAAATATCGTCAACTTTGTGAAAATTAAGTTATTAAGGAACAAAAATTTTTTAATATTTGTCATATTTTCATTGCCATTACTGTTTTATTATTATCATTATTGTTATTATTATTATTACCATTATTATTATTACTATCATTATTATTGTTATTATTATT